TGTATAATTAATTTAAATCAATTTTACTAGAAACATAATCTCAAGCTTCAACACAGACACATGTGCAATCTGATCTTGAAATTTGGAAATTTCTTTTGTTCATGGTCATTAACTCCTTGCTTTTCTAATGGTGGTGATGATATTAAGTTGATTAAATTCAATAATTTCAACATTTCCAGTTTAGGATAGTTTGGATTAATGGGAATTTTAATTTTAATTTTAGATTTAAAATTCATGTTTTTAACATCCATTATTTGTGTCATGTAAAAATTTTTAAAGATAAAAAAAACTGGCCGAGAATCAAAATAGAGATAAAAAATTAAAAATGATATATTTATCTTTACTCTTCAATCATTAAGACATAAAAATGAGAAATGATAAAAGTGACAAGACTTACAAAAACGCCAATAATAAAAACCTGAAGAAAATTAGAAAATGAAAAAAAATATATAAGAGAAAAAATATGAGAAATGTAATGAGATTTTACTTCACACCGCGACATTTATTGGAAAGACATGCTGACGTATGTAATGATATCATAATACACCCCACAAAATATCTATACCGCGTATAATTATTGAATTTGACCCCGGAGGTGGAACAGCGGCACCAATATTTCTTTACATATATTTAATTGGTTAAAATATATTTTTCATCTTTTAATTTTATATTATAACTTATTTTGATTCTTTAATTTTATAAAATAAATTTTTATTTTTTTGATAAATTATTTTCAATCTTTTAATTTTGTTATCATTAGTGTCATTATAAAAAATTTTACATTAAACTTTTAAATATTGATAATATATTTTTAAATTTTTACATTATTAAGTTTTCTTTAAATTAACAATAGTTAACATAAAAAATAATCATTTAATTTGAAAATAAATGTGTTAGGGTTAAGGATTAAATTAAAATCTTATATAAAATTAAGGATGAAAAGTATAATTTAAACCATTTAATTTTTGAAAGTCAGTGAGAATATGGCTTAATCTAGTTACAATATTATTAATTATGTTCTTCACTACTGTAGCAATTAAAACTGAGATTACAAAGGCGAACATGGGAGTGTCTGCAAGAGGAGTTCTTTCAGCAAGCCCTTGTCTCAAGCTAATAGTATAGGTAAATCTTACATATTAAAAATGGTGTTATTCTTAATAAAAAATTAGTTTTAATAATTATTGGTTATGCAACTGCATTAATTCATGAAAAACTATAAAACCAATGGATGATATTGAGTATATGGAGATATATTGAGGGAAGATATGGAGAGAATTCAAGTCCACACTATAAGAGGTACCAATTGAAAGTATCCCTTCAATTTTCATAAATAGTACTTACCTTCACTCTATTCTTACATTTAAATTTATTGAAAGCATAAGAGATAATATTAAATTATTATTTTATAGAAACCATTGTTATCTCGTGACTTGAATTTTGAATGCGTCAATCATACTAATTTATTTTTTAATGTATCTCCATCAATTCAATTTACACCCGAAATTTAAAATGGTTACCAAGAGACAATTAAAGAAAAATATAATTTTTCTATGCTCTGAAGATATTGTACGCAATTTTCTCCTGCATCTCTTCTACTCTCTAGAGAATTACTGCCACCAACAAATTCTTGTCCTTCTTGGTATGAATAGAAGAACCATATATGAAGGAAAATCTATTAATTTTGCAATGACAATATATAATAGGATTAAAGGATAAAAATACTTATAAACTTTTTCGTTAAACGTATCTGTAAGTCAATAATAGTTTGTGGATATTCATGAACTTGCAAGGACATCTTTTCTCATCCCGTTAAAAAAGGAAGCAGATACAAGATATAAAAATACAAATAATTTTTTTCTCTAGAAGCTTCTAATATCCTAAAATTTGAGTATTTTTGTTCATGAAAAAAAAAAGTTTTTCACTATTTTTGTGTTTTAATCCATCATCTCAAATCTATGTTAACAGACGTAATTTGAGAAAGGATGTCTTTATTAAAAAGAATTAATAAATAATTTCATACTTTTGTTCATTTAAAGATCCTGACATTGCTAGCAAAAAACAAAAAAAGTTTTTGAATAGTTTTATCATTTAGCGCTATATAATATTACATACAAAAGATATGGTAGCACATTCTTCCCCCCTCATTTGGGAAAATTTATTACAACAGTTTTTTTTTTCTCTAAAATTCCTATTAAACTCTGAAGAGGAAATTTGAGGGAACAAAAATAGACGTGAACCATTTACATCTTTTTCCCTCCATTTTTGTTTTATTCCTATTCTCCATCCTGATTTTATCTTTGCCCATATATCCAAGCACAAGGGGAAAGTTATGCAAACCGGCCCCAAAGCCCCAAAGCATTGGGGTGCGGATGAAAGGCATAAAATATGAAATGCAAGCAAATGTGATCAACTTGTGCTCACCATCATCATCAATGCAACTTTAGCCTCTCTCATACGCAGTCCTTCTTTTTTTCCCCTTCTTCTTTTTATATAGGTCACAAAAAAATCGAGCAAAGATAGACCGAACTTATGTCATGTCCAAAATCATAAAGTTTTTATAGTCAGGTTTTGGTTTTTCAAAGTAACTCTTTTCTTTTAACCATGTGAAACAAAGTGCAAAGTGAATGAATAAGTAAAATAAAAAGTATATAATGCTTTGAAGAAATTAAAGTGTAGAGAAGGCATTCTTCTTGTGACTTGCCATGTGAATTTGTGCTCTTCTCTCTTTAATTTTCCCTTTTATTTTAAAAAAATTATACCCAAACCTCATAGAAAAGAATTTGTTATTAATAGATTTCATGAAATTTATAAAATACTCACAAGTTTTAAATTTTGTACATTTACAATTTAATTAAGGACATTTACAGCAGGACAACTACAAGTTATAAATGTCAATTGTCTATTTATAAATGATCTTAGTTAAATTGTAAATGTGTTGGATTTGGGAGTGTTTTGTAAATTTTTTTAAAAATTTTTAATGATAAATTCTTTTTTGTAGGCCTTTTATTTTCTTTGATCTTATTTATTATAGTTATATATGACCATTTCCATTATGCTATCGGATTTTTTTTTTTTTTGGGGATAAGCTATGCCATTTGATTTTATTTATTGTTTTCACATAATGTACATGCATATTCATCCATGTTGCTAGCGGAAGTTTCCGTATGTCCACTGCAATTCTTAGAAAACTATTAAACGGTGCTTTTGACTTTCAGAAATATTAACTCACTCAAAGTGTATGGATTTAAGAGCAAACGAATTTATCTAATACTCTTTCTAGAGATTATAATATAAGTTATTATTAATTAATTTATATTTTTTTTAAATAATTGGTTAATTTATTTTTTAAAAATTTCAATCATACCTCTGAGTGTAATAAATATAACATTTAATTTATTTAAAATATCATCAATAATTACTCAATAAGCAAGGGTATAATTAAAAAATATATAACATTTATTCAATATTTTATATTTTGAACTCAGCAAAATTTTTAAAAAGTAACTTGTATTATTATTTGGAAAGAGTATATTTTCAATCATAAAAGGTTTATGAATTTTTATGCACACGCATACGCGCTCTCACATATAGTATCTTATCAATATATAAACCCATCAGTAATTAGTAATTCAGTACTCGTGGGGTGGACAAGATTAATTAGAACGAGATGACCCTAGTTGCAGAAAATCACGCGCGATTTGCTGAATTATATGCTAAAAAGCAACAAAAGATGTTTGATAAGTGTATATTTTATTGATATATATATATATATATATATATTATAGACTATATTTGATTATATTATTATTATTTTATATCTATTTAACCAATTTTTATAGATTTTTTTCTATACTTAATTATAAGATAAAGAGATTTTTTTTATAGAAAATTTACTCATATTTATTTATTTTTATATTTTGCAAGAAAAGGAGGATCAAAAGATATCTCGTGACCGCAATTAGTGATAAATTATTACGGGAAAATATGCAAAAAAACCTATAAAAATGATCTAAGGCTCATTCAAAAGGCATCCAACTTTATCACGTGAAAGCTAGGAGGCAAAGCATGAGAGGAGTTTATCCGAACTATGAGTTTTTCCCTCTTTTTTTTTTTCTTCTAAATTTGTCCATATTTTCTATTGGGGTGTTTTGTGTTAATTTTATGAGTTGTTGTTAAACTCTCAGTTAAAATAGATAGTATCCTGATTTGGTTATTTTATTTTTTTTGTTGGAATTAACATATTGTCTGTAAAATTTTAATATTTCTATTTATATTTATTTCTTTTGTTTTAATTGATTTTTATATGCATGGCTACTATATAGATTATCTGTAGTTAGTTTGATAAATTGAAAGGTTAAAAACCTACTTAGACCTAAAGAGATAGATGTAGATAATTAGATTATGAATAATTTAGAAATCTGTGATAGTTTATATTGTAGCTTCATGCTTTAGAAATAGTCTTCTGTGCTAAATCTTAATCTTTGATGCTCGTTTGATTGATTGGTTTATCATTTTCATTGCTTTTATTGTTTTTTTTTCATATTCACATTTTTTAAAAAGGCAAGACTTATATACTTAATATACTTATATCCAATCAAATCATAACATGTGGATCTTAATATATTAGTTCAATTAATAACAAAAATTTATTATAAAATAAATAATTTATAAAATATTTACATGTCATGATTTAATTGGATACAAACACCTTAAATATATAACGTTAAGTATATAATAAAATTAGTTTTCCTTTTTTAAAACTACCTTTTTTTGCTTTCCTAAAATAATAAAGTTTAATTACTTTCTTTTGAGTTTAATTCTTGAAATACTTTAAAATTTATTACCATGTGGATTTCGTATACTTGGGAGATTGATCAAAGTTTTTTTTTTTCTTTTATAGTAAAAAATTATTCCATCTCTGGTTGTTCAAATATATAAACGAAATTGAATTGCGTGACATGAATGGCATAACCATCACCACTAAACTAGAAAGTAGAAACTAATCACAAAAAGCCAGGAAGCTTTATTATACAAAGCATACATACATAAAGAAAAAGGCAATAGTAAGCTATATATGTTAGTGAGATTCAAATAGCTGCTTCACAGTATAAGGCCCTGTGACATGTGGAGATCCATGCCATATGAGCTCTGCTAATTTCTTGTTGGCACTGTCAGTGGTATGGCCTCCATCAAACCACACATACTCACTTGGATTGCTGCATACCTGGAACGTCTCGTTCCCACTGAATCCTCCTCCACACCCACTTCCTCTGTACGCTCCGTTCCCACAGCATGCTGATTTCCCTTCCTTAAGCCCTACAACATAATAGATGTAAATATCACCTAGGATACTGCGAATTATGAATGGGGAGCAATCACTTAGAAATAAGGGAGAATAATTCATTCTTTGTTCTGAACTTTTTCCTGTAGATTCTCAACTAAATTTTTTCATTTTCTGGAATAGGAAAAAGCTTTAACTTTATGCATGAGAAAATAAACTTAAGCTTTGTGGAAGTTCTTCTTCTCATTTATTATATATTAGTTATATATTGAATTCACCTTTATCTAAAGATCAACTCAAATCTTCTTATATTTTGACAACCTAACACAACCTTGTAACTTATACGTAGATATAACTTATCAGGATTTGGTAGGGTTACGTACCATATTTGGAAGGATTGTTGTTCATGTCTAAAAGTGCCTTGTAGTAATCGAATATGGAATACTTGAATCCAGGCAACGTGCTCTGTAACTTGTGAAGTGCTACAGACAGAGCCCTGTTGTGTCGCCTAGCCATTGCCAGTAAGAATTCAACGCAGCGACCGCTAGGATTAGTGGTTGTTGCTCTGTTAGATGGTGTACATCCCAATGGTCCTACGTTTTGAAACGCGATTTTTCTGCCTCCTAGCCTGTATACCTCCTGCAAAATCAACGACATTTAGAATTCATAATCCGATGTTGTTGAAAAGAATATAACAGGAAACCTAGGTTGAGGTAAGACGTAGAGTGACGACCTTGAGAGAGTTTGTCAAGTTGCCAATGACGTTTTGGACGTGTTGGGCTTGCTCTAAAGCTGTGAGGTTTTGGGATAGTCTGAAGTAATCATTGCCTCCTATACTGAACAAGTACACAGCACTCCCCATTATCCTATTGGCTTCTTTTTCACCGTATTTTTGTTTCAGTGAATTTACCACATCTTTCAAGTAGCTCACTTGTTTCGGGAAAGAGATCTGCTCAACAGAAAGCTCATCAACTCAATATGTCTTAACTGTGTTGAGAAAGTATACTTCATAGTTATAATAAACTAAAATGTTCACTATTTTCTCACAATCACTGCTGCCCGGTCTTTATAAAACTTGACACAGAACAAGAACATAGGGATTAATTCTAAATCGATGCCCCACTGAGTTAAAGAAATGAAAGAAAAGAAAAGAGCAATAGATACTAACTCCAAAAGGGGCTAGATTAAGAACAGCTGCTCCACCAGAAGCAAAATTGGCTCCATTAGTGTAGTCTTGAGCTCCTGGTTTCAGATATGCTTGAAATATAGGCAACTTTGCAAACAGAGCTGTTTTTTGGTGAATTAATTTAATACGAGCATGTCAGAACAGAATGTGATATCGACTTTGGAAACTAAGAGATATATTTTAAATGAACTAGGTGAAGAAGAAAAGAAGGAAGGGAAGGTAGTGAAACCTATGAAATCAGGGACGACACGGCCGTCGGAGATTCTGCCAGTGGGATGCTTGAAGTAGGTGATACCATAAGGCCAGTGAGATGGTGTATCTCTCTGGGTAGTGTTGGTGTATCGGCTATTGCCAGGATCGAAGAGAGAATCTCCGAACACAAACAGAGCCTCCTTGTGGGATGGGATAGATCCGCCATTGTTGCAGCCTACAGAGCTCAGAAGAATGATTGTGACACACAACAGAGAGAACAGGGCTCTCGCCATCTTATCTGATTCTCTTTCTTCTGCTGTATAACATTCAGCTAGCCGTGTATGCTGATGGATTTTGCGGATGAGATGGCCATTATTTATAAGGAAGTCCTCATCAGCGAAATTGGTTTACTGTCTCTTTTTCTTTTGGTGGATAACTGGAAAAAGTAAATGCACCGCAATGTAGACCGTTTCATGTATAAAAAAAAAAAAAAAAAGTAGAAAGAAGTTTGCTATGTGATGCTCAATAATTATAGATCTGAACGGAAAGAAATGCGATATCTTGTGTTTGCACCGGTGTGGGACTAGTCTGAGTTACCGAACAGTCCCGAAGGCCAAAGTCAACTAAAGTTCAGGCACCAACGTCGACACACGTCTTCTATTATCTTGATTTCCCACCTCACTTTCAACGTGTCATCTGACGTAGTGGTCCTCACGTGAGAACAAAATCTCAGTATGTGCGCAAAATAATCTACGAGTTTGGGAAGGGTGGAATTGTTCAACCTCATTAGTTGTTTTTCCTATGATCATGATTAAATTGAATTTTTAGGAATTAATTTATATTTATAACTCATACACTCACACGTCAATGCAGGGTTTGAATCTTAAATCTCACGCTGTGGCCTTATTGTAAAGGCAATTTATCATTTACCAACAAATTTGTACATTTATATAAAAAATGATGACGGTAAACAAGATTTGTATTGTATCACTATTTTTATGAATATATGATAAACATTCATTTTAATGAATGGGGGCTATTAGATTGAGATGGTGATACTGATATGATTGGATGGGCGGAGTGAATAAGAAAAGGGCAAAAAGGAAATTAGGTTTATTGCAAAGATATGCTGAGAGACGCAGTGATATCATATCATACCCCACCACACACCACTTTGTCTGTCGACTGTACCGCGTATTATTTGACCATGGAATCAATGTCTCTCTGAATATATTTTTTTGGGAGATTGGAAGCGGATAAGTTAGCACTTAATTCGACTGATTCTACTTAGTGGAAATGACCCAATCAGGCACTAAATGAACCTATGGATTAAATCCCATTTACATACACATTAAGTAGCTGATATGCTACAATTAATGCAACCCATAGACTGACAGGATCGTGCTAGCCGTTGTTCCATGCCCATCAGTAAATGATAACATTTTTGTAATATCAGAGATACATTCAACGACAACTTGATCTTGTGAGTTCTTAGATATTTTAATTCTCCAGAGCCTTTTGGTTGTCTTTTTCCTTTGGCCAAAAAAAAAAAAACAGTATTTAGTTGTCAATTTTAGGAACTTCGGAGTTTCACATTTCATTTTACAGTAGATTAAATTATGAACAAAACTAACTTGGACAACTCATTTTAGTTGCCTTTCATGCTAAACAAGATATAAGCCATGACATTTTATTTCATCAATATCACAAATAAGATCTCCATAGTCCACAGGGTAGGATCATTGTTGAAACAGTGCTTTGAGATTGTAAGGCCCAATGATAGTGTGATTTCCATTCCATATGAGCTGGGAAGAAAGCTCATTGGCTCTTTCAGTAGGATGAACAGAGTCAAAGAAGACATATTCACTTGCATTCTCACACAATTCATAATCCTTCGTTGTTCTTTTCCCTCCACAACTGGGATATCCCCTGTAAGGCCCACTTCCACAGCATGCTTCACTCCCTTGCCTGAAACCTTCATAACAAAATAACCCACAAACATTAGAATTCTATGATATTTGGATTTCAAGTGTGAAACTTGAAATTTGATTTTGGTGAGAGAATTATTGATGAGAAGGATCAAACTTAGACCACTTGGTAAAATAGATTCTGATACATGTGCCAAAAATTTTTCTAACTATGAAACTCAAAAACTTGGTACATTGTCAGAGGCTCAGGGATAGTGTAACACTTGCCATACTTTGAAGGATGACTTGTCACATCAAAACCTGAATCATAGAAATTGTAAAGTGAATATTTGAATCCTTTAAGCTGTTCCTCCAACTTCTGAAGCTCAACAGAAAGTGCACTGTTGTGCAGCTTCACTATTGCTGTAACTTCTTCTCTGCAGAGACCACTTCCATTCACTAGAATCCTAACCATTGGAGTACAACCCAGAGGTCCCAAGTTAACAAACCCAAATTTCCTCCCTCCTTGATTGTGTATTTCCTAGTAATCAATCACAGATTGGAAAAGTCAATGGAAGGCACAACACTAAGCATAGCTTAAGAGAATTCTGAACATTGAGCACTTCGGAAGTATTTTACACACTTTGATCACTGTTGTCAGATTACCAATGACCATGTCCACGTATTTTTCAGGAGAGTATGAAGCAGTGATACTGGAGTTTTCAGCCAAAGGACCAAAATAATCATTGCTCCCAATGCTTATCAAGTAGACGGCTCTAGCCAGCAAGCTTTTGGTGTCTGCATCTCCGAGTTTCTGGCTCAGAACCTTGATCACTCTCTTGAAATAACTTAGTTGCGTTCTTAGATCTATCACCTGAAAATAAAATCAATCATACTATTAAATTATCCTACTCTCTCTCTCTCTCTCTCTCTCTCTCTCACACACACACACACACACACACACAGGCAGAGACAGACAGAGACCTAGTGTGTTATAATAGAATCCACTTCTGACATGCTTACATGCCAATTTATGATTGGTTGCTTTTTACGTATGTAGTTTAAAAATTATGTCGGAATCATTTTAGCTAAAAAGCTCAGACTAAAGCATACCCTTCCTTGATTAGTTTCAACTAAGGCCCCTGCACCCGCTGATGCAAAATTGACCCCATCAATATACTCTTCATTACCAGGAAATAGATATGGTTGGGTTAATGGCAATTTGGCATACTCAGCTGCAAAAAATTTCCTCATATTGTTAATGGTAAAGAGGAGACTAATTTTATGTATTGAAGTTAAACTCACAACAACATTCAAACTTCATACCAATGAAATCTGGAATAAGACGCCCATCGGAATATCTAACTGCCAGAAGGGTACTTGAAGAAGCTTTCCCCATATGGTGGATAATTTGCCTGATCATCAGTTTTAATGTAATTGTTGTTTCCAACATCAAATAGTGAATCTCCAAATACAAACAAAGCAGTGTGCTGCCTTGGAAGGCATATTTTGGCAAGGCACCTATTTGGAATAAGTATGATATTGCTTGCACAGAAAAGTAAGAAATAGAAATGAAATCTCAGACTTGCCATCTCAGGCTCATTTCAGTTAATGGCTGCGACTTCTGTTAATAAAGACTATTGTAACATTCTTAATGATTAGTTTCAATCTTGGATATTGTGAGAGTTTGGAATATGCTTTTTAAAAGTATGCGAGTCTAACAAAATAACATGTCCGCTTACGAATGAAATGGTTTGACTTTTGAAATTCAACCTATTTGTATGTGACAGAAATGCTTTTTCAATGTTATATATATGAAGTCAAAATGATTTATTCAATCTTGAAACTTGGGCGCCAAGACAAAACTGCAGAAAATTAGTGACGATGCCTTTTAAAATAACATATTTGACAAGTGACAAAATTAGTTTATCGCAAAGCCTAGCTGAGAGACCCCACACCCCATCACACATCACTTTGTCAGTCGGCTGTACTCTGTATAATTATTTGACCATGGAATCAATATCTCTGAATTTTTTTTTTGAGAGATAGGAACAGGATTAATTAACACCTATTTCTACTGAATGAAAATAACCCAATCAGGCAGCAAAACCAACGTAAGGATTAAATTCCATGTACATACACATTAAGTATCGGACATGTTACAACTAATGGAATCCATAGGCTCACAAGATCATGCTAGCCGTTGTTCTGTTCGCATGAGTAAATGAAACCTTTTTGGTAATATCAGAGAAATATTCTATAACAGCTTGATCTTGTGACTTTTCTGAGATATTTTAATTCTTCAAGTCTTTAGTTGTCAATTTTAGGAATTTCCGGACTGTTACTTTCATTTTACAGTAGACCAAATTATGAATCAAAACCAACTTGGACAAATCATTTTATTTGCCCTTCATTCTAACAAGATATAAGCCTCTATAAGGTCTGAAGTTGTTATTTTTACCAACATTAAGCTGATAATTCAAAATTAAAATTAGTTACTTATAATTCAAGAAAAAAATCTTAAAATATTTAAAATGTTCAATAAAATTTGGTTACTTTATTCATTAGATAAAAAGTTAAATATCATAATAAAAAATATTAAACAAACTATAAAAATATTGAATCATATGCCTTCAGGCTTCAGTCACATAGAAAACTGGTTCCGGATTAAACTATAAAATATAGTTTGAGATCATATTGAAGTTTTGCATGACAAAATTTTAGGGGGCCAAGCCAAGTAATCATGGACACAATCTTTAATTTATAATCAACATGAAAAGCAGGGATACAAAAAACTGTAGGAGACTGGTTTTTGAATCAAAAGTAACATGGACCTGGACATGTCATGTCATTTGCAAAATACTAAATGAGCTATAAACCTTGACATTTCATTTCATCAATTCACGTACATTCCTTTACGTTCAGGAACATCTCCTTCACTTTTATTGTTGAAATAGTGATTTCAGATTGTGAGGCACAGCGACAGTGTGACTTCCATTTCACATGAGCTGTGAACAAATCTCATAAGGCCTTTCAGCGGGATGACTTGAGTCAAAGAAGGGATATTCACTTGCATTCTCACACAATTCATAATCCTTCGTTATTCTTTTCCATCCACAACTGTATTATCCCCTGTAGGGCCCACTTCCACCGCATGCCTCCCTCACTTCCCTGAAACCTTCACAGCAAATTAACCCACAAACATTATATTGGTGATTAAGGCATATAAAAGCCTAAAGTAACTTGAAATTAATTTGATTGTGATAACAGAATGATTGATGACAAGGATCAAACTCTAGACCACTTGGTGAAAGAGACTATGATGTATGTCAAAAACTTAAACTTGAGGCCCCGGGAATAGTATATATATAACACCTACCATAACTAGAAGGGTGGGTTATCACATCAAAACCTGAATCATAGAAACTGAAAAGTGAATATTTAAATCCTTTAAGCTGTCTCTCCCACTTCTGAAGCTCCACAGAGGGTGCACTGCTATGCAGCTTCACTATTGCTATAAC